TTAAGAATACTACCAGAAATGCAAAAAAGAACACAACAAGGCATACTGTTAGATGATGTTGATTTTGATGATTTTGATTTAAGTAGATATGATAGTAAAACAGCAATAATGAATGAACGAGCAGAGAAGGGGACACAAACCGAGTTCCCTGATGATGATAATAGAAACTTCCTTTTTGATAGTTATATAAGGGACTATCCAAATGCATTACAAAACAGACGAGACAAGATGACACAAACATTTAGAGAAATGCTACAACAAGACAAAGGGGTTCAAGCAGACTTAACTGATGATGAAGATGATGATAGTAATGTATATAACCATTTAACATTAAGAAAAGGAAAGGGGGATAAATCAACGCAAACCTTTAAATACATTAGAGAAGAGAAACCACCAGCACATATAGAAGATGATGATGAAGAAGAAGAAGGATTAACGCCATCAAGAATAGCAAAGGAAGCATTAGGACTGGGATTAGGTTTAGGATATTATGGAGGAAAACTCGCCTACCACGGAATAAGAGCAGGAATTAATCTAATTGATGCTTTAAACGAAAGAAGAGAAACAAGCGAAGAAGAAGAAGAACAACAAGTAGAGAGAATTATGAGAAGGGGCGCAAGCCGTAGCAGAAGCAACAGTCGCGATAGAGAAAGAAGTAGAAGTAGGGATGAAGATGAAGAACAACCAAGTGGAAGCAACGATGCAATTAGATTATTAAGAAGAGGAGCAAGTAGAAGTAGGAGTGCCACTCCTCCCAAGAAAGGTAAAAAATAATTTGATTTTTATGTGCTTTTTGATTTATCAAAAACCACTTAAAAACAAGTTATTCTTATATATTGAGATAGGAGATGAGTGCATTTTTACAAATGGAAGGTGGTAACAGAATGACAATTGATGATGACTTGTTTGATGTTCTTTGGAACTCATTAGATAATGATGAACAGCATAAAGAAGCGAAGAGGAAGGCAATGAATGATAAGCATAATGCCAAAAACAAAGAGAATGGTTATTATAAAGAATATTTCAAAAAGAATGACACACCTTTTGAATGTGAGAGGTGTGGTTGCAAGTTAAAGAGTAAATCCAACAAATCAGCACATTTAAAAACCCCAAACTGTCAGAGGTTGTATGAACAACGAAAGTATAATGAAATGGAAGACCAATTAATCAAGAAAATAGTATGTTTATGAAATAATATTATTATTATCTATTTAATAATAATATTAGCAAGAATGAATAAAAATGAAGTTTTGAGTGATTTATATTATGATATCGAAAGCGGTTTTGGAAGTGCAAAGAGTTTGTATGACGAAGCAATAAAGAAGGGGTTGGCAGTAACTCAGCAAGAGGTGAAAGATTGGTTGAAATCTCAATCATTGAAACAAAGAAAAGGTTATAAGAATTATAACAGTTATTCAACACCATTTGCACGGGCGGTTTTTTCTTGTGATGTAATGGATATGATAAGTTTAATGAAAGACACGGGTACTTATAATAAAGACGTGAAGCGATACGGTTTGGTATGTATTGACAATTTTAGTAAAAAGTGCCACGTAGTTCCCATTGCAAATAAAGATGGTGAAACATTGTATGATGCCTTCTTGGAATGTTTTAAGGTAATGGGTCATCCCCAGTCAGTGTATAGTGATGATGAAGGAGGATTCAAATACAAGAAGTTTCAGGATTACTTGAAAGGTGAAGGTATTACTCATAACATTACTTTAACACATGCGAACGTAGCAGAGAGGATGATTAGAACATTAAAGAAGATGATAAGTGATAGACTTTTGGTTCATAAGGGCGCTTGGACAATAATGTTAAAACCCGTTTTAGATAAGTATAACGGTAAGATGAAGCACAGCACCACGGCACTCACGCCTAACGAGGCACACAAGGACGAGAATAGTGTAGAAGTAAAAGCAAACTCAGTAATGAAAGAGAAGTATTTAAGAAAATATCCTAACATCAAAGAGGGAGATGATGTTAGGGTATTTACTAAAAGTGGTGGAAACTATACCAGCAGGAAAGAGTCCAGAAATCAGTGGAGTGAAAAAGTTTATGAAGTGAAAGAAGTTAGTAGAGACACACAGTTGAATAAATATTATGTTGTTGAAGGACTGAGTAAGAAATATATGAGACACGAGTTATTATTAGTTAATTCATAAAAATATGCACAAGGTGCGGTATTAAAAACTTTACAAAAAGGACTTAAAGATAAAACGCCTTAGTATATTAGTTATATAAACATGCGCGAGAAAGAGGACACTATTAAAACAGTTAAAAGGTTTGTTAAGAATAATCCCTACCCAAAATATGAAGAAGTTATTGAAATATTACTTGCTGTTGTCCGTGAAACAAAAAGTGATGAACTAAGACAAGAAACATTTAATATGGTAGGTGAATATGGAAGACCCAACCACGAATGGATGAAAGACATTTATGAAAACATAATGGATGAACAACGAATAAGAGAAAATGGGTTAAGAATAAATGATAGAGGTGATAAAGTAGCAATGATATATAACTATAATGCTTTATACCAGTTCTTAATCTATAAGATAAAGAAATTAAAAATGAAACACGATGAAGCAGTTGAAATCTTATATCCAATTAAAACACAAATTAGTCAATGCTGGGATGGTATAGGTGAATGGCGACATTAACAACTAAAAGACAATTAATTAACAATTAACATAATATTAACTTTCTGGGGATTTTGTGATGCATCTTGTTAAAACGAATAAGGTAGTAGTCCTCAGAAATTTAATATTTTGTTAATTTTTTGTGATTTTGGTGGTGGTAAATTGGATACTCTTTGAAAAAGTGTGAAAAATCTGGGGTAGAACACTTCAAGAAATGGTGAATGAATGAGAGTGCGAAATGATAAAAACGAATGAGGCATTTCGTCCCCAGAAACCCCCTGTATAAACGAATGAGGTGGGATGATAGATGAAACGAATGAGGGGTGAATGTGGTAAATGCAATCCCCAGGAATTGTAAAATGGAAATGAATGAGGGGGTTAAATGATGATGTAGATGTTATGCTGTTGTAAAATGATGTATCAGCACAGGCAGGCAATGTATAATGTGCCAGTCCTCAGAATCACCCTTTTCCTTATTTTTTGGGGGGGGGGGGCGCAGCCCCCCCACTTGCAAACACCTCTTGGCTTTGAAGCACGCTCTCTGCACGGCTTCAAAAAAAAAAGAGCGGGGGGGTTTGGGGGGGGGGGCGCAGCCCCGCGCGCTCTGCACGGCTTAAAAAAAAGCGGGGGGGTTGGGGGGGGCGCAGCCCCCCCCATTTGCAAACACAATGCTCACACGATGTTTTTCAACTAGTTTCTTGGGCTTTGAAGCACGCTTGGTACGGCTTAAAGAAGCGGGGGGGGGGGGGGGGGGGGGGGGCGCAGCTGCTCACATGATGGGTGTCAACAAGTTTCTTGGGCTTGAAGCGGCTCTGAAAAAAAGCGGGGGGGTTGGGGGGGGCGCAGCCCCCCCCATTTGCAAACACAATGCTCACACGATGCTTTTCAACTAGTTTCTTGGGCTTTGAAGCACGCTTGGTACGGCTTAAAAGAAGCGGGGGGGGTTGGGGGGGGGCGCAGCCGCCCCCCATTTGCAAACACCCTGCTCACATGATGGGTGTCAACAAGTTTCTTGGGCTTTGAAGCACGCTCTGCACGGCTTAAAAAAAGCGGAGGGGTTGGGGGGGGCGCAGCCCCCCCCATTTGCAAACACAATGCTCACACGATGTTTTTCAACTAGTTTCTTGGGCTTTGAAGCACGCTTGGTACGGCTTAAAAGAAGCGGGGGGGGTTGGGGGGGGCGCAGCCCCCCCCCATTTGCAAACACCATGCTCACATGATGGGTGTCAACAAGTTTCTTGCGCAGCCCCCCCCATTTGCAAACACCCTGCTCACATGATGGGTGTCAACAAGTTTCTTGGGCTTTGAAGCACGCTCAGCACGGCTTAAAAAAAGCGGGGGGGTTGGGGGGGGGGCGCAGCCGCCCCCATTTGCAAACACAATGCTCACACGATGTTTTTCAACTAGTTTCTTGGGCTTCGAAGCACGCTTCCTTTCTTCCTTCCTTGCTTCCTTCCTTTCTTCCTTCCTTTCTTCCTTCCTTGCTTCCTTCCTTTCTTCCTTCCCTCCTTTCTTCCTTCCTTCCTTCCTTCCTTCCTTCCTTGTTTTCTTCCTTTCTTTCATCCTTCCTTCCTTCCTTTCTTTCCTTCTTTCCTTCTAAAACCTACCAGAAATAACGCTTTCCTATGAAACCACAGAGAAATTACTGTTTTTCGTACGAAAAACCACGAAAATGCATCAAATCCCTTAAAAATATGGAGGGAATGGTGGTTTTCTTAGGAAAAACCAAGAAAATCGACCCAAAAAAAAAGGCCCCCCCAAAAAAAAAGACCCAAAAAAATAGGCCCTCCGTTTTGATTCCCCAATGACGAAAGACTCCGCGGATGCCAATCGTGAAGCTCTGCTGCTGAGTTGTCTCCCTAGAAACCTGCTTTGTAGCCCCAGGAACCATATTCTTATAAAGGTACCCCTTGTTTGGCTACGTTACGTTATAAGGGAACCCCCCTTGAACCGAAAAAAGGGAAAAAGGGTACCAAGCCGTGTAGGATTGTTCGTTTGTGTTGAGGTTCGCGGAGTTCCGGGGTCTTCTGTAGGGCTTGCGGGATGCAACCCACTTCCCGAAACCCATCCCCCCAAAGGCACTTCCTTACCATGCTTCTGAGATTTTGGGACTGTTGTGCAAGGACTTTCAGGGCATGGGGAGGGGCTTGAGGGGTGGGGGTGGGGGTTGGGGCCAAGTAGCCCTGAGCCCGTGGTAGGCTACGATTTCTAGAAATATCAAGCAAGTGAGACCGAAAAAAGATCTTCAGGTATAGGCTTAGCCCACCAAAAAGACCTCAGCTGCAAACGAGTTCATGGCTGGAATAGTATCATGCAACATGTTACCCCACTACGACAAAGTAAGCTCCACCCAGGCGCAGCTTGACACGTCGCAGCCGGACAGCTCCGCCTGCCGCGTGCATGTTCGCTGTGACAGGGCCCTAGAGGTCCTGAAGCAGTGGGAAGAAGGCACCGTGCCTAGCGAGGAGCAACGTGCAGGCTTGCAGAGTCCCTAAACCCTAAACCCTGCTTGGTTTAGGGTTTAGGGTTTAGGGTCCCAAATAGTAGGATCCCCTTACAATAAAGAGCCCACAAACAACCCGCCCTCCTGCAGCCAGCCCGTGCCTCCGCGAGCAGGGGTACCCCTTCCATCGGGCAGTCGGTGGTCATCCTGCACCTGGCGGGAACGACCTTTAAACCCTTTGGGATGTTCTGTTTAGGGTTTAGGGTTCAGGGTTTAGGGTTTAGGGTTTAGGGTTTGGGATGTTGCCCCTTGTACTAACAGTCCTTAATAGGGATCAGAACAAGGGTACTATCATCCCAATTAAGGACTCTTAGCATAGAAAAGAACACCCCAGCCCTCTCAGAGTGGTTAAGAAGCCCCGGCCCCCCCAGAACGTGCAGGCGGGATGGCTTGATGACCAGAGGCGGGTCGCAGTAGATCGGGATCTGGCCGAAGACATCATGGGTAGGAGAGGTTTAGGCTTCAGGGTCTATCATCACCCCTCACTTAAGATATTTTCCATATTGTTCTAACCCTTTTTTTGAAGATATTTTCCATATTGTTCTAACCCCTTTCTTGGATCGCATCACTTGATGATCGTGCTTTCTGCGTTTTTGGGGCTGGATGGCTTCGATTCTTCTGGTATTCCCGGGCCTAGAGGCGGGGCATTCAGGGATCCCACTGCTTGGAACCTAACCCCCCAAAACCCCAAGCCAAACCTGAAAACCCTAACCTTAAGGGCTTAAACGTACTGGTCTGTCGTTCTGCAGCAAGGAATCAGACTCTCAGGTTTGAGTTTATGGTTAGGGTGAAAAGTACCCCAGATACAGCTATAACCAGTCGAGTTACTCTAGGAACCCTTCTAATCCCCAGTTTTTACCCATGAACCACCAAGCTGGGTTCGCACACGGTAAACGCTGAACCCTTAAAGGGCATCAATAAGACATGCACCTAGATCTCGTCTTTAGTACTCTCCTGTTGGTAAAAAAGGGTGTAACAAACCCGAAGTCCCAGAAACCCGAAACCCCCGCGCCTCGAGACGCCCGGAGGGCGTTTCCAGGCGCAGGTGCCGCGCCCTGGGCCAGGCATCGCAGGCGGGCGTGTCGCCTGCAGGAAGGGTTTAGGGCTTAGGGCTTAGGGTTTCGGGTTTAGGGTTTAGGGTGGGTCAGGGCTTTAGGTCCAGGGGTTTGGTGGGGAGGTTAGTTCTGGATCTGAGCAGGGCTTAAGGGCTTTCAGCTTAGGGCTTTTAGGGGCTTGGGGCTGTTTTAAACCGAATCCTTACAGGCTCTACTTTAACTCTCCGCCTTGAAGTGCTTGAAGCTTCATGGGCGGTTCTCAATAGGGTTCGAAGTAGCCCTAAAAGAATATCAGTGCCTCTAATAATACTCTACGTACCCCAAAATAAGGTTCGAAGTACTCCCCTGCTCAGGTTCTTGGCATGTATTGCAACAAAAACCTCCACCCTAAACCCTAAACCCTAAACCCTAAACCCTAAACAAGTCTGGGAGGAGGGCAGTCCCCGAGCCTGACAGCTCTGCTTCCGCCTCATCCACAAGCGCCCCAGCAGCTTCCGAAGAACCGTTGGCCTCAGTGAGACGCCTCTTATGTTGGGACCCCACGGAATAAGAGTGGTTTTCTAAGGAAGGGTTCGGGTTTAGGGTTTTTTGGGGTTTGGGGCTTTAGGGTTTAGAGTCTAGAGTTTAGGGCTTAGGGAGAGAGACAGTGGCCCGACGAAATCAACAAAACCAGAGAGGGCCTTATGGAGAACAACTGCTCAAGCGGGGGGGGGGGGGGTTAGGGGTTGGGGTTTAGGGCGAGGGCCGGGGCTGGCCGAAGATGGACCGCTAAGACAACAGCAACGCAACCTCTCTGACCCTCCAATGAACCGGGTTTGGGGCTTCGGGCTTAGGGTTTAGGATTCCTAAACCCCTCCCCCAGCCCTAAGCCCCAAGCCCTCAGCCTTACGCCTCAAACCCGAAGACCTGAAACCGAATCCCCGCAATGTTCTGAAATGCGGTTGCTGTTGGAATGCAATAAACGGCCATGCGTGCGGAAGCTCGAAGCGCTCTTTCAATAACGACAAGGTTTAGGGCTTCGGGTCCAAGATGGTGTACCTTGTTCACACGCAACCCGGAACATCCAGGAACACTAATGCAGACAGTCCTAGCAAGAAGCATATCAACAGCACAAGTGCAACCCAGGCCTATGCATACGCACGCGCCGCAAGAGTCCCCGCCCCACCCAGAGTTACCCAAATCCCAAACTTCCCACCCCCCCCGCCCCAGAGCTTTAGGGTTTCGGGATGAACTAAGGCTGCGCCCTCAACCCCGCAGTACAGGACATTTACAGGTCTAAGTCAATCAAAAGCCTCCTACGAGCAGAAAAGGGTTTATCAGTCTCTCGTAAGATGGGGAAACCATGCACCTGTAACTACCCTAAACCCAAAACTTCTTAGGGCCCTAAACCCGAACATTCCAGGCCAAGCTCCTTCTTCAGCTTCGGCCCAACCTCGGGCAGGTCCGGCACTCGGATTCATCTGAACTTGGGGCTTCGGATGCACAGTAGGGTCTCTGAGCTCGAAGAGCCCAAATGGAGGTAGGGTTTAAGACCTGACATGGTTTAGGGTTCAGGGTTAAGACATCTAGGGTTTGGGGCTAAAGGCACCTTACCCTGAGAAGCACGACGCACCCCAAAATTCTGCAAAGATTCAGGGGGTTGGTTCTAAACTTGCTTGGGTGCTTACGCCCCTGCTTGCAACTAAGCCCCAAAAAGCCTAAAAAATCTGTAGCCTACTCAGGATCTCATGAGGGTTCAGGATCTAAGGTTCAGACCCTAAACCCTAAACCCTAAACCCAAAACCCTAAACTCAGGATATAGGGTTCCATTGAAGGATGCCGGGTTGGGAGTGTAGGATTCAGGCGTTACATGTTCTAGGAGTCAGGAGGAGGCAACCGGCTGTACACGCGGGAACGCACATGCACAACAGAACGCGGCGCACAGCCATAACTCTGAAAGCCCTAAAAACACAAAAACAAACCCAAAAGCCCACGGGGCACACTTAGGGTTTAGGCTTTACGGTTTGGGGGCTTGCGAGACGGGGCACCTTTTGCAGCAGCTTCTCTAACTGGAGACGAACTTCTTCATCTCGCTGCCGTAGCATCCTATGGGGCCAGGCAGAAGTGTTGGGGTTGTAGTATTTACTGACGCTAGATCCTTATATTGCTAAAATGCCATACTACCATCTTGCTGTATGTTACCACATTGCTATATGACTGTATTTCTCGATTGCTAACGCTGCTATATTGCTCTGTTACAATATCTATATTGCCATCGAATTTTCTAGAATATAGAATCGGTGTATTCCGTCTTGGACACCTTTTGCAGGCTAGAGGTTTGGAGCTGCCTGGCGCAGCACACTGGAGCCACCAACAGGCGGGAAAACACCCTAGACCCAAAACCCAGAGAGTGCGGGGGTCGAAGCCCTAAACCTGCTGCAGAACTTCATCAGGCGTTTCTACTGAGAGATTTCCCTCAACCCATCCCCAAAAAGGTCTTGACGGACGTGGCCAGTTTACTAAGTGAACCCTAAACCCTAACCCCAAAAACCCTAAACCCTAAACCCTGGACCCTGGACCCTAAACCCGAAGCCCCAAACCCCATGGCTGAGCCGAGGTGCTGAATCTCTCCATGCAGGGGCGCGGGAAGCTGCAGCTGTATCTCCATCCTTTGCCAAAGTTGTAGCAGGGTCTAAGCTCGTGCCCTCAAGGTTGCACCCTTGAAGGGCCCTTAATTTCAAGTTAAGCGTTTTTGGTTGAGGGGGGCTTAGGGGGTTTAGGGTTGTTTGGTCAACTTTCTCATTCAGACTTTGCTTTTTGGGGTAGCTCGGTTCTCACGTAGCCGATGAGAGAACGGCCACTGCCCTTAACCCTAAAACCCGACACTTAAAACCCAGAAGCCCTAGGATGCCTTCAAGTTCCTAAATCCTCCACCCCTAAATCCCTAAATCCAACCCCCCAATGCCGCGAGGCACCCCTGCCCGGAGGATTGCTTCGGCTCGCGCGTGTCGATGACCAGCAGCGCCATGTTGAAGGGGTGGGGGGTGGGGATCCAAAGACTTGACTTAGGTTAGGGTTGAGGGTTTGGGGTTTCGGGTTGGGGGTTTAGGGTTTACGGGCCGGGAGACTAACCTAAGCCTTAAGGACTACACCATCATAAGCCCATCGGTCCACCGCAACACAAGAATTCATCACCCTCATAGTCGCATCACATGTAACTTATAGGAAGAGGGTACTGCGGCCGGCTCTGGAACCACAGCCGATGTCGTCAACCCAGAACACGAAATCCACGAGGAGTAGTATGGGACCTTGTAGGGCTTTATAGAATGATAGAACCAGAAAGGCTCCAAAGAACCCTGAGCCCTCAAGCCCAAGCCCTCATGGCTATCTACGAAGCTCGTGGGAAAGCTTTCAGCCACTTGGCAGCTCAGGAGACGACGGAGGTGTCCAAGGAGGGTTCAGGCTTCTTTTCGGGTAGTGGGTGAAAAACCTGTAGGTTGATTGGTAGCTAAACTCGGGAGGGGCGGGGGTTTGCTAGAACTGGTAGTAACTTTATAGTATTTGGTATGTGTACTTCACTATGCCTGCCGTGTTTTTAGGCACAAACGTTCCGAACCGTTCTGTCATGGGATGCTGGGGCCTCCCTGAGATTGTGGATTCAGAGATTTCGGATTGTAGGCCCAGGCCCGAAAACAGGGCTTCTCTAAGCGACAGAGACTTTCATGAGGACGCTGACCCCCAAAATTCCCAACTCCTCAATCCTAAACCCGTTCAATAGAACAGAGCTTTATGCACGACTAACTTCCGTTGCCACCCAGCCTGAACAATGAGACGCCTTTCTCCGTCTTTTCCTCCCGCCCTTCTGCCCTTTCCTCCTGCCCCCCCCTCTCCCCTCAAGGCACATAAGGGACCCGATTCAAGTAGGTTTAGGTTTAGGGATCCTCAAGCCCCGAAACCGTGCAAATCCCAACCCCTAAGGTCCTCAATGGGCATATCCCGGAGAAAGACCTCCCGGCAGTCGCTCGCCTCGCTGGCTTTTGGTCAGGTGCTTCAAAACGGCGCAGAGCCGGAGCTTCATATGGGCAACTATTTAGGCATTCGCATTCCTCCAAACCCTACCTTAAACGCCGAGTTACCCAAAACAAGAGGCTGCTATACTCCCAAGATAGGAAACTCTAGCCCGCAAGTCGAGTCTACTGGAATCAGTGTAGGCCCAAAGGCTCCTCCCCCTCCCCCCCGCCCCTCCCCGCCCAGCAGCCCGCACAAAGCTCAGGCCCCAGGCGGCTTCGTTGAGGAGGCGCACCTTGGAGCAGTGAACAGGGAATTGCTCGGGGGACGATTCTGGGTCTGAACCCCTCAAAAACCCCTGGTTCTTCGCAGGGCAGGAGGGAATGAGGTACCCTATAGACTCCCTTAAGGGCATATAGGGCATTAGGGTACCCTATTCTCTCATTCCCTACTCAAAATCAGCCAGTTCTGGGAAGTGCCTCAGGTAAGGATGCGATCGAATCTCAGTTGCTGAGTGCACAAGCCCCCCCAAAAAGTGTACGCTTTTAGTTTTGTAGAGATTAGAGTATCCCAACAGTGTAGAGGGGTCCATCCCAAGGGACCTCGTCGACGCAGAGCAGGTGCAGCTCCTCGTCGCCGGCAGTGCCCGCCTGGCAAACGCGAGGTTTGGGGTTGGCTTCTTGGGGCTTTTTGGGACTTTTTGGGGTTTGGGGCTTTTTGGGGTTTGGGGCTTTTTGGGTTTGGGGCTTTTGGGGTTTGGGGCTTGGGGTTGAAAGTTTGGGTTTTAGAGTTTAGAGTTTGGGGTTTAGAGTTGGGGCTTAGAGTCTCAGGCTTGGCGTTTAGGGTTTCGGGCTTGGGGACTTCGTTTCTTTTCTGGACAACAAATGTTAGCTTGCGGCCGATGGTCAGTTTCTGCATGATGCTTCGCCGTGGATTATGCACCGTGAAAGCTGCAGCTCTTGTGCACACAACAAACCGTCATCCCCCCAAAACACCGAAACGCATCAGAAACCCCTAGGTGTGCATGACCCCACCAAAGATCCCAACAACCGCACTTGAAAAAGGGACGCCCGAATCCTGCTAGGGCACCCCTCCTGAGGCCCACGCGAGGATCCTAGCTCCCTACATCCCTTAAGGTCATCAGCCCCAAAGTAGGGGAAAAACATCTAAACCCTAAACCCGAACTCCTTTAACCCTTGACCCTAAATCCTTAAACCCTAAACCCTTAAACACCAAAACTCTAAACCCTTAACCCTCAAACCCTTAAACCCCGCTTGCGGGCGCCTCCGGATCGTACTCCTCCTCGAGCTGCAAGGGCGTGGCTGCAGAACCTGGTGTAAGTTTGCTTCTTGGTTCTCCCGGTTTTTTCAACTGCTGTTGCAACGGTAGCATCTTCCAACTTTCCTGAGGCCGGTCTTAGCTTGAACCATGCATCCTTCACGAGGGTCGCTTTAATCCGGGGTCCCGTTTTTTGGCTTCCCGTTCCCTAACCTGCACTTCGTGCCCACACCGGGAGTTCGGAGATTTTTGATCGCTGGGACCCGCAGCGCCGCGCAGGTATTCTCGCGTGCCCATCATGCTCTTGAGCACATTTGGGGGCCCGAAGCTGTCAAGAGGGTTTAGGGTTGGTATCCCAGACATCGCAGACAGCACCCTGCTTTTGCCAAGCCCACGCCCTCTCGCCCACATGCTGTGCACATTCCCGCCTTCGGGCCTCGGTCCCTTGCCCTTTGGAGGCTTGCATCGCTCCGCGTTGCGAAAAGGTGGCAATGACCCACCAACAACCCTAACTAAACCCTAAACCCTAAACCCTAAACCCAAAACCCTAAACCCTAAACCCTAAACCCTCAGCATTTAAAAAAAGGGATTTGCATGTTGCAGTGTTGCAGAGGGCGCTCGCGCCTCGGTGCCTGGAGCGGTCACAGAGTGATAAAAAGTGTTGGAAAATGATATTCTCTCATGACGTTCATATATTCTGATGCTGTGATATTTATCCATCATTCTGTTGGTAGTGGGTTTTGATTCTTGTCTTAAGATGGTCAGTGTGAGCTCTGCTCACGATACGGTCTTGAATTGATCTTGCGCTGTGTGCAAAAAAGTGGCTTCACAGCGATGGAACAACCTGCAAGTCTTAAAGCCTTAGAACCCTGATCTGTGAGAGTCTAGGCCTAACCCTTAAAAGCTGACTCCCCGCCCCAACAAGCACCCACCTTCAGCGAGCAAGTAGACGGCGAAACGGTCTATATCTCGCGCCTTCAAGGCCACTTGTCATGCTGTGCCGCTTCTGGCGTAGTGAATTAGGGAGGAGAGTTAGGGGTTAGGGTTAGGGTTTGGGTGAGGGATGGGGTTAGTGTTAGGGTTGCGGTTAGGGTTCGGCCAGGCTTACTAGGGTTCGGAGGGTTTGGGTGAGGGTCAGGTTCAGGACTAACTGGGGTTAGGGTGAGGGTGAAGGTTTGCAGAAACCTCCACAGAAAACACTGAGCGGGTGCCTACTACAATTTGCGCGCATATAGCTTACAGCATTTGATGAACGGCTTAGGACTTGATCGGCTCGAACAGTCGTACCCTGCGGCCTCAGTCCTACCTTCCGTGCCTTCTTGTGCAGAGCCCTCCCAAAATAAAGATCGGAAGCCCAATGACAAGCTACAGGGTTGTAAGATCGCGCGCTGCCTCAAGCATTCAGGAAGAAGTGACCAAAGGTGAACCCACCCTCTCTTATCCCGCTCCCCTGTGAAATTGGGCCTCTGTGTAGCCCATGCGCCGTTTCTCCTCGGCTCACCCCCGAAAGCCCTAGACCCTACGAAGCCCTAAAAACCCACAGGGCCCTAAAGCCCTGGACCTCAAACGCTACCAAACCTTGACTAAGCCACCCCCAGAAACCTGGGACTTGAGCTGTCTTGCTGGTTCCGAAGCGGGATTTTGAGCGTCTTAGAAGGTTGGGGGGGTTCAGGGTGTGAAGTTTCGGGCCTCGGGGCGGGGTCTTCTGGTTTTAGGGTTCAGGATCAAGGCTTGCACCCCTCAGGCCATAAGATCCCGAGAAGTAGGAGGGGGGGGGGAAGGGGCTGCGGGGGGAGGAGGCCGTAAACGTACAACTAGACCCGAAACGCTAAAGTGGAGGGGGGGCGGGGGGCATCACATACCCCATTCCCCAAGACCCTAGCGAAAGCCCCCTAAACCCCAACCCTAAACCCTGAACTCTAAATCCCCAAGAAAGCCCCAAGTAAGTTCCAGGTCGAGATGCGGCTTCGGTTCGATTGTCCACGCCATGCCTGGGCCAGGGCTCTTCCCTCAAGACTTCCGCCCTAAGAGCTCCTTTATAGGGACTATAGTTCCCTTAGTATACTGACTAGTAAGGACTGTTCATATAAGGGGGTACATCCCGACCCTCTGTCTCGTAAATGGCTGTTAGGGTTTACGGGTTAGGGGCGTAGTTGAGCCATGAGGCTTCAACATTCAGCCTCGTACCCTCAGTGGATCTAGGTTTTTCAGGCTTAGGATTTGGGGATTCCTTGAGACCTCATGACTTGAAGGTTCATGGGCAGGCAGACATCAGTAGGACTATAAGCTCATACCCAGATGCACTTGCAGCTACCCTGAGACCTCTCGATGACCGCACTTCTCCCTGCTGAGAACCAGAGGAAGTGTAGGTTTGCGCGAACTTTCTATCAACGCTCCGACAATCGCTTGCCTCTATAACCCAAGGCGCGTCCTACTTGGAGGTTCGTGGGAAGCTGTAGGGATGGTTGTAAGTGCGGTGGCCATAGGCATTTTTAGTTGGGGACGTGTACCTCTGTTATTTCCTTACGCGGGTTACATATGGGCCCTACCTTTAACCCAACACCACAAAACTAAACCCTAACCCAAACCCTAGAAGCCCTAGAAGCCCCAAACCCCAAAAAGCTCCCCACCTTACTTCTCCACCAACCAAGAGAAAGAAGGCTAAGCTTCATTATTCTTTCTAAACAAGGAACCCAAAAGTTTTTAAGTTCAAGTGCTGGCTAAGTAAGCCAAAATTAAAAATCCTAAACCTTAAGCCCCATACCCGCCAAACCCCTCACCTTTCCTTTCCTTTCCTTTCCTTTCCTTTCCTGTGCTTGCAGCGTCAGCTGGTGCTGGCCAAAAACGGGTCTACCCTAAACACCCCAAACGCCCCTGAAGCACCCAACAAAAGCCCCCCCCCCCCCCCCCACCCACTACTTCTCGTGCACCCGAGCAGCAAACCCTAAACCCCCAACCCTAAACCCTAAAACACCCTAAACCCTCAAAGCGCCCCACAAGCCGCTTCGTGCACCCGAGCAGCAGCGTTCTCACCGCCTTCTCGGCCATGCTCCGGCTCTTGAAGGTGGCGGTGGCCACCAGCTGCGGGTCGCTTGGAGGGGGTTTGGGGGGGGAGGGGGGGGTGGGGGGGCCAGGGCTTCGGGTTTAGGATTTAGGGTTTAGGATTCAGCATCTCAAAGTTCAAGCATTCACTAGGTTACCACCTTGTCAAGCGCCCGAAAAGTACCCACTCACCCAGAGAATCCCATACCATTAAATTAAGATAACAGAAGTTTCACACGCAACCCAAACTCTTAGCCCCAATTAGACCCTGAGCACTCGTACCTGAACCTTAAACCCTAACCTTAGTAACCTTAGAACCCTAAGCCCTGCACCCCAAACCCGAGGCCCTGAACCCTATGTTCCTTGAACCCGAAATCCCAGGGCTCTTCAACCCTCATGCCAGCCAGTGGCTATATATGACCTTGCCCGCAAACTATGTGCCCTTGCCCGCTAAACATATGACCTTGCCCGCTAAATATATGGCCTTGGCCGCTACATGTATGACCTTGCCCGGGTTATTCATTTAGCGGGCAAGGTCATAAATTTAGCGGGCAAGGTCATACATTTAGCGGGCAAGGTCATACATTTAGTGGGCAAGGTCATGAGTGAGCCACTGAACCTCGCCCACGATTTATATGGCCTTGCCCACAACGTCATTAACATGTATATTATATATATATATTATATACATATGTATATATATATATATATGACAGAGTGGTTTTGGGCGTGGGGTCTAGGGGGGTTTCGGAAAGTTTAGGGGGGTTTAGGGTTTCAAGGGGCACTACGGGTACTTTTGGTGTATGGTTCGGGGATTCAGGGGGGTTTAGGGTTTCAAGGGCGTTAAGGGTATTTAGGGTGTATTCGGGGTGTTCCGAGTCTTCGGGGTGCTTGGGGTATTTAGGGTTGAAGATTGAGGGCTTAAGGTGCAATTAAGGCACGTGAAACTCACAAACCCAAACTGAAAGATACCTCGGGTTTAGGGTTTAGGGTTTGGACCCCCTTATATAAAATGTCACATAGTAAGATTCACTTAGAATAAGGACCACCATAAGCCGGCCCGCCAGACAGCTCTAAACTCTCAGTTTCTTTTCGGTCTATAGGGTTTGGGGTTTGGGGTTTCGCCCTGCAGCCTTCTAAACGCCACAAGGACACCCAAACAAAACGCCCTTAAACACCCACCACTTCGACGACCCACCTGGCCGTTGGCGGTGCGGAGCGCGCTGGGCGGCGACTCCAACTCGCCAAGCGTCTGCCTTGGAGACACTCGCGCGGGTTTAGGGCTTCGGGTTTAAGGTTTAGGGTATGTATGACTGGGGTTGCAATAAGTAGGTTTTGGGCTTTGAGGGTTTAGGACTTTGGGTTTAGGATTCGCTACCAGCCCAGATCCTTGGAACCCAGACCCTAACTCCGAAACGGGAAGGCCTAAAACCTCAAACCATGAACCTACTCGAACCTTCAGAGGTGCTGAGAGGTAGGACTAACTGTATGCAGAACCCTTCCAAGCATGTCCCGGTGTAAGCACTCAAGAGACTAAGCCTAAACGCTACACCCAAACCCTGACCCCTAAGCCACAAGCCTCTCCAGCCCCCCCGACCCCAAACCCCCCCACCGACTGAAAAGCCAAGACCGCCCGAAAGTCTGATTCCTCGACGCCTTTGATTATGCCTAAACCCCTTAAACCCACATGGGTGGTTGTCAAAACTATGGTCCCTTTTTGGATCACTATTATAGTCCGGCACCTGTTATATGTAGGGTACCCCAAAAGGGATCACAATTTGGACAGCCACCCGTATCATATTCGGGAGCCGTTCATACGGGCAAAGGGGTTGCAAGCCCAGGCGCAGCAGCGACCTGATTTTCGACGTAAAGGATTCCTGCTCTCAGGGGCTCCCTTTTGGGGAGGTTTAGGGTAGGGCAGGGTAGGGAGGCCCTGACAGGAAGGGTAGGGTAGGGTAGGGTAGGCTAGAGGCTTTAGGGTTGAGCTGAAAGTGTTTGAGGTGGGCTTAGGAGGTATAGGGATTCGCACGGTTTGGGGTTGTAGGGTCTGCTGTTCTTCGGGTTAGGCTCCTCAGGGCTCTTCGGGTTTAGCGAGGTCAGGGTTCATAGGCCAGTAACCATTAGTATCACAAGGGTACCCCTCTTGAGGGGGCTTGGTAGCCTCTAAGAAAAACGAGGGAATGGTGGAGTGGGGGATGCCTATGCAGACGAGTCTTGGGTAGACCTGTCGTTCGTTTGTGGAGTCTTTGGAGCTAAAGATTCTCCGCTTTCATTCTCAAAGAAACCATAGAGCCCAAGCCCCTAGGGAAATGAACCTTCATTGCTAAAGTTTAACATGTTACTGTAGGTCGGGTTCAGGGTTGAGGGTTGAATTCAAGGCCTGACTTAGATGCCCCAAACTGTATGTTCGTTCCCCCAGCAACCTAGGAAAGACGAACAACAAGGCCTTTTAGGTTTCAAGCAGCTCATGCGAGAACCTAACCAAGCGCACCACGGGGTGAATGAAATCAACGGCCCCGAAAGCCCTCAAAACTTTCCACGCCCGTCAGCTCCCAGACTTCCCCCTTAAGGACTACCAAGGCCCGAAAGTTGAACCCACAAAGGTTCCTCAGAGGAAACAAATCGGAGAATCCCTAAACCCTTAGAGACCCCACTGACCCAATGCCCATCCCGAAAGCTCCAGTCCTGGTATAAGGGTTCGGGGCTCAGGGCTCCGAGGCACCCTCCAAAATCCTACTGAGCCCAGAGACAGGGACAGATTTGGCAGGTCTGCAGCAGTCGATTTACACCGCGAATTCTAGCACCGAATTGCTTGCAAGTTCCTGGCCCAAGATCAACCACTGACACGACCTCCGCGTCTCTCTCCGCAACAGGGTCCTAACCTCATCGCGATGCGGAGACGAGAAGCAGCTACCTGCTAGCTTGCGATAACATGGGGGCCGTGATGTCAGAGATGGAGAACCACTGAAGCAGAGCCGTGAGCACGAAAAGGCGCTTGTCGTTGGCGAAACACGGCACCAGCACCAGCCGCACGCCGGCCTCATCGCAAAGTTGTCGCTTCCTGTCGTCCCTCTCCAGCTGACTGTCAAAGCTTGAAGGGTTACCGAAATGGAAGTAGTTGTCAGGATCGTAGTGCTGCTCCCCCTGGTACTCGAAAGCCAAGGACAGCTCGGAGCAGTAGCCGTCCAACTGCAACCCTTCGAGAAACTTAGGATAGGACGACTCAAACATTGAAGGAGCGAAGATGGCTTCCAGAATGCTCCGGATCTCCGCTTCCGTCTTCCAAACACTGACTGCACATTGGGGGCACCAGGTCTTCTGGTGAAGGATGTGCTTAGCGCTGGCTTTCCACCTGTGGCCAAGCTGGCATTCCCAAAGAACCTTCGCTTTACGGTTGCTGTACTTCTTGCACAGGCACCTCCCACCCAACGACGTGGCGTGTGCCTGAAGACGTGCCAGGCCGATCTTCTGGCACTCGGGGCACCAGCTGCCTTTGTGGAAGACATCTCTTGGTTTGGCTCGCCATACATGGCCATAGCTGCACTTCCATCGCACCTTGGAGTAGCTGTTCTTGTAGTCCTCGGCAAGACAGTGTCCACCAAGCCGGGCAGCGTGGCTCCGCAGTCGCTCCAAGCCGAGAGGGGCACGCTTAGCGCAGGCCGGACACCAGGTCTTTTGGTTCAAGACGCTTTGTGATGTCGCGCTCCAAGTGTGGCCTTTCTCGCACCGCCACCGCACTTTCGCCCTCAAGCTCACATATTCAGTAGCCAAGCATTTGCCACCACGGGCAGCGGCATGCTCCTGCAAGTCCCTCAAGGTGCGGTTTGACCGTGATCTCGTTGTGCGAGCGCACTCGGGGCACCAGGTCCCTTTGTTCAAAACACTGTACCCCACGGCCTCCCAGGTGTGTCCCAGCTTGCACTGCCAGCGAACCTTGGTCCGATTGTTCCTGTACTCGTCGGACAAGCACCTGCCACCTCTTTTCCTCGCGTGTGCTTGGAGCTGGTCCAAGCTGAGCCTGCCCTTATTGATGGCACACTGAGGACACCAACGGCGGCCATTCAGCACACTGTGCGGCGTGGCCTGCCACGTGTGCCCCAAGTTGCACTCCCACTGGACTTTCGTCATGCAGTTCGTGTACGCCTCTGAAATGCATTTCCCGCCCTTGCTGGCCGCATGGTCTTTCAACCTTTCGAGCGCAGCCCTCTTGACCGCTGCTTTGCTCTCCATTTTCCGCCGGGCTGCTTGCAGAGCTGTGGACTGAAGAACCCTCCCATCGCGACCGTCGCAGTGCAATGCCGTTTCATCCGGAACCTCCGAGCGGGAAAGCCACTGGCCTCGCGCAACAGGTTTGCATCTACGGCGACTGAGCCTGGCCGAAAGGCCCCTGAAGCTCACCACGCCACTTGCAACCGCAGCCAGCCAGGATCGAGCCGCAGGTGCGCCTTGATGGCCGAAGCTCAGAGGTTTTCGGACGTGCCAGAGCTTTGGAACAAAGCCCCTGGTGCCTCTCTCATCGAGGAAAGAGCAGGCCAAACTCAGCATCCTACAGCCATCCTCGGCTCCGACGTCTATGTGCAAACAAGCTTCAAGGCTCTTCCAAACAGGATGCCAAAGCCAGGATGTTGCAGCTTGCCGAACGATGTTAGCCAGCATGTTTAACTCCGTTTTTTTTTCTCTCTCTCTCTCTCTCTCTCCCTCTCTCTGTCTCTGTCAAAAACCCTTGCTGGCTCCCGAATGCCGAGCACTGAAGGGTTCGGAGCCCTATTCACTCCAAGACCCTAAACCATAAACTCCAAAAAACAGGTTCAATCCTCTGGGCCTGTAGGTTTAAGGTCTGGGGCTCAGGGCCCAGTAACCCCCAATGTCTAAACCCTGAACCCCTTGAGGCTTGAAAAGTTCAAAAACTCTCTGGACTGCGTGATTTTTACACAAAGGGCCAAAGCGTTCCATGGAGTTTGCGGCTTGGTTTTGGTTTTCATGGGTTTTTAAAGGATTTGGAATGGGGTCCTGGAGTGCATGAGTCGCGTGTTGTTCTGGAGATTGTGGGGAAGTGCCGTTTCCTTGCCGTGCAAGGGGGCTGCGTCGGGTGTCGCCATGTGTGCGGGGGGTGGGGCCGTGCGTGGTGTCTTTTTTGCTGCGTGAGACGTGATTGTTTAATGTCTTGCCGAGATGCATGTTGTTTATGGTTTGCGCCGGTGAGGTGATGCGAGTCATGTGAGTCAGTATTTGGTGGGCATTCGCCTGGACCCACTCTGTGGCCCAAACCGTTACTACTGCGAAAACGAGGTTCCCACATCAGCCGCATCAGACCCCAACCCGAAATCTGAGACCCCAGGCCTAAACCCCATACCACTTCGCTACGTGGAAGAAACACATCATGGAAGTCTCCAGGTGGATGTGCTGACGCGCCCACGCAGCAAGGAAAATTCACGCTCCTTCTCGTCGAGCGCATTTGCTATTTCTGCGAGTGTTGGGGACATTCTGCGCTAGCGGTAGCTGTCCGCCTGGACCCACTTCAAGAAAATCACGGGCCGCAAGAATGCAGCAGGGATTCTGCCCCAAACCCTAAACCCTAAACTTTAAACCCTACTTCAAGGCCAGCTCGCAGTAGCCTGAATCAAGGCTGCTCTAGAGTCCTAAACCCTAATCCTTCCACTGCCAAAGCAGCCCTAGACCTCAAACCCTTTGGTCAACAGCACTTCAGCCCAAAGCTCCCCACCCCAAAGCCATGCCAGCTGCCTCGGAGAGAGTCGTCCAGCCGGCGGGGAAGTTCGTCATTCGGAGCGTTCGGGAGCCTGGGGCGGGGGAAGTGATCCTAATCTGGAAACTCTACACCCTAAACCCTAAACCCTAAACTCAAACCCTAAACTCCTAACCCCTAAACCCCTAACCCCTAAACCCTAAGCGCATGAGAGAGATAGGCAGGCTGTCCCAAATAGACGCGCAACAAACCCTAAGATTGTTGGGTTCCTGGCTGCGGGCTTGCGGGTGTGCTCTCGATCTGAAACCCAACTCTATGAACTCTTAAACCCTACCTTGAAAGCCAGTAGACTATAACTATGGGCTACATCTTTTATTGTTGGGTAACTAGGCGTTTAAGGCTTTAGGGCTGATAGTTTGGGATGTTCCCCCTTAGACTAACAATCCCTAATAAATAGGGATTATAGTAGGGGGGTATTGTAATCCAGATTAAGGACTGTGGAGGAACATCCAAAACTGTAAGCCCAAAAGCCTAAAGCCTGAACTCCTGGAAGCCCAACTAGGGAACACCCAAAACTAGTCATGCCACGGTTGCCAAGGGTTTTTCATGCCCAGATAAAACCGTATAAGCCCTAAACCCTCCAAAACCCAAGGCCAAATTCCTAAATCTCGAATTTACCACAACCCCTAAACCCAAATCCCAAAGCCTGTGCCCTGAACCCAAAACCCCCAAAACCCTCAAACCGTAGACCCCAAAACCCTCAAAACCCAAACCCCAATCCAGGGCCCATGGGCTAACCCTGCACACCAAACCCTAAACCCTGAACCCTAAACCCTAAACCCTAGACCCTAAACCCTAAACCACCCGAAGCCCTAAACCCTGAACCCTAAACCCTAAACCACCCGAAGCCCTAAACCCTAAACCCTAAATCACCCTAAACCACCCTAAACCCTAAACCCTAAACCCTAAACCCTAAACCCTAAACCCTAAACCCTAAACCCTAAACCCTAAACCCTAAACCCTAAACCCTAAACCCTAAACCCAGCGGCTAACATCAGTCTCGACCGACTCGAAGAGCGCGGCGGCCATCGCCTCACGGAGGTTGGGAGGCTGCCCGGGGGCTGCTTCGGGGGCTTGGGAAGACTTTGGTTGGGGGGTTTAGGGTTTAGGGTTCGGGGGTTTAGGGTTTAGGGTTTGGGGTTTGGGGTGTCGGGGTTTGGGGTTTGGGGTTTCGGGGGTAGGGTTTAGGGTTTTAGGGTTTTAGGGCCTAGGGTTTAGGGTTCGGGGGGGCGCGGGGGCTTCAGGATTTTGCGGTCCCGTCGTCCTGTGTAATGATTTAAAGGGGCCCTTGAGTTCTACATATGAAGCAGCTGCTGGAGCTCCGAAGTTCAGGGGGCCATGATCAGGGCCCTTGTAGCTACCCTGAGGAGGTTGAGGGTTTAGGGGGTTGAAGGGCCTGTAGGAGGGAAAGGGCTTCGAAAGGGCTTTACAGACCTTAAGCATCGGTGTTTATTATGAGGCTGATAGGGAGTTTTTAGGGTGCAGGGGCTTCAAGGATAGGGGTTTTGAGTGTTTCTTACCTACAGAAAGTTGCATTTAGGGGGCTGCGGGGGCGGATGTTTAGGATTTTTTAGGGGTTTAGGGGTTTAGTGTTTAGAGATTGGAAACATCAGCCGGCACTTCCTCTTGCAACAGCGGCCAATGGGATGCCACGGCATGTGTTGTTGCTGGCGCTTCATCCGCCGCACGGCTCGCGCGGTCTTGGCGGAGGATCAGCACCAATCACGCCGGTGAGAAGCCAATCGGCCACCCACATGCCGGAGGCATTCTTCGCCAGCAAACTCCCCGCTCGTGAGTGGGGGTTGGTTTCGGGGCAGTGACAAGTTATAAGGACGTTGAATAAGGATAGATGACAGCCCATGGGCCTTCAAGCAGAGGCTTCCGATAGAATTCTTCGGGGGGGCAGAGGGGGTTCAGGGTTTTGGGCTGGTTCAAGCGGGAGGCCTACGGCAGGGAGCGCGACAGAGTTGCTATGGATTTCTTGCGTGAGGGGCATAGAGCGCGGCCTTGCTTCACAACTCCGACTGTGCGCCCGCCTAAACCTCTGCCCAGCTGGGGCCTGGAGGAGCCCTTGAGAAACTGCCGCCCTGAAGCCAAGCCCTTCCGCCGTAGGTCCCAATTTCACACCTGCTGTCGGTTCGACGCCATCTTGCTGCGAGAGCACTATACAGCGCGGCTTGGAACTAGTCGTCCTAAAACCCCGGTAGCAGCTGTTTACTTCTTGGGTACCTAGGCAGATCCCATGGTTGTAATTCTGAAGCCTTAAAGCCGGGACTAGTCTTTGAGGTGTGGCTCGGCTCAGGCCAGCTTGGATTGGGTTTTGTTGCTCTTTTTGCCTGTGTTCTTGTTGGGGGAAGGCCGTCGTCCCCCATCTTCACCATCTCCTGCCTAAGCGCCAGATGCAAGGTGGGGGGCTGGGCTTTGTCGGGGCATAACTGGATTAAACCCCTGCTATTTGGCATGCTATAGCATCATCAATTCTGTCATCACAGATATGTTAAAACCCCAGCAAAGTGAGGTCTGTTGAGCTTCTTCGCTTATGCAGGCGCGGCACCATCTAAACGAGCCGAGATAGCTGGAGCGGGTGCATGGCACGGTTTCGTGGCTTAGGGTGTTCGGGCGTTGGGATGTTCCCACCTTATACTAACAGTCCTTGCTCGAATTTTGTTTTTTTTTTGGGGGGGGAAGGATAATCCCTAATAGGGACTGTTATTAGTGTAAGGGGGAACATCCCAAGTTTCAAACGTGGGGGCGCAGGGAGTTAGGACTTAAGCTTGTCAGGCTTCATAGTTGTGCTTGGAGGTTCATGGGTGGGTGGGTCACAAAGAGTAGCTTAATAAGTAGATACAACTAGACTCTAGACTTTCCCCACATCTGACACTGGTGTAACTGCCCATGAGACCAAGCGTAGGAATGGGGTCTGAGGGGTCGAGATATGGGGGGGGGGGGCGGGGGGGGAACAGGCTGGTTCCCCCAGCCGGGTGGTTCAATATGGGCAGTTCTTCAGAATGGTGGTCCCGATTTTGGTCAGCTGTCAAGTTGAGGCTCCGTATTGCAACAGGATCCAAAGGAGGCTCCATAACCTAGAGAAGTGACCATGCGCTGCATGTGGTTTCTTCTCTGCTTGAGAATGCTTTTCGGCCTCTGAACGCACCCGAACCGCTCAACATAGGGGCCTTGATGGGTTTTTGGTTTGGGTTTTGGGGGTTCTTGTAGTATTACTATATAGGAGCCATAAGCGAACGCTACTAGTAATTCTTCCGACCCCTAGATGATGCTCGCTGAACTTCAAGCCGAGCCCAGAAGCTCAGATTGCTGTTTTGGTGCTCGCGGCCTCTGCGTCGAGTTTGTGCGTGCTTGGACTCGCCTGGCAGGTTTCGGGCTTCGGTTGGGGCTTAGGGGTCTATAGGGGTTAGGGGGTTGGGGGTTTAGGGTTTAGGGTTTATGGGCCAACTGCAGGGCTTCG